TCATTTCTAAATAACCTATGGGTCAAAGAGATCTCAAGGGAAATTAGACAACATTTTTAGTTAGGTGGTAATGAAAATGTAATATACAAAAATTTCTGAGATGCTTTAATGTTTAAAAATCAATCAACTGAATTAAGTTCCTCCTTAAAAAGTTAGAGAAAGATGAGAAAATTAAACCCAAAAGAAGTAGAAATCAATGACATAGAAAATGCCCAAACAATACAGAAAAACAACAAAATCATAAGTTGGTTCTTTGAAAAGATCAACAAAATTAATAAACCTGAAGCTAAGTTGATATGAAAAGAAAGAGAGAGAGAGAGAGAGAGAGAAGGAAGGAGGGAAGGAAGGAAGGAAGGCAGACAAAGGAAGAAAAAAAAAAGAAAGAAAAAGAAAACACAAATTACCAATATCAGCAATGAAATGGGGAGATCACTACATATCTCATAGATTAAAAAATAAGGAAACACTGTTTTTCAAAACTTTCATCAGTAAATTGGACAACTCAGATAAAATGGATTAATTCCTTGAAAGAAACAAATTACCTATATATATTAAAAAATTAATTCATAATTTAAAATGTTCCCAGAAAGAAAGCTGCATGCCCAAATACCTTCAATAGTGTATTCTATCAAGCATTTAAGAAATAAATACCAATCTTACACAAAATTTTCAAAACAGTAAAGAAATATTTGCTAACTCATTTAATAAGGATTGCGTGATACAAAGACCAAAGACATCACACACCAATATCTCTCATGAACAACGACACAAAAATTCCTAAGTATCAGCAAATACAGTTTAGCAGTATTTAAAAAGGATAATACATCATAACCATATAAGATTTATAACAGGAATGCAAAGTTAGCTTAATATTTAAAATATGAATTGGTGGTTCATCATATTATCAAAATAAAGAGAAAAATCATACCGTCTTAATAGATGCTGAAAAGCATTTGACAAGATTGAGCACCCATTCATGATGAAAAACTTCTGCAAACTATAGAAGACACCTTCCTCACCCTGATAAAGGGCATCTATGAACAACCTATAGCTAACATCACACATAACATGATAAGCTGTATGCTTTCCCCCTAACATTGAGAACAAGGCAAAGATGTCCACTCTAATTACATCTAATTCAATGTCGTATTGGAGATCCTAGCCCAGTGCAGTTTAATAAGAAAAAATAAAATAAATAAAAGGCATGTAAGATTAGAAAGGAAGAAACAAAATATATTAATTCACAAGTGAATTAATTGTATACAAAGAAAATCCTCACAAATCTACAAAAAAAGAACATGTAGAACTAATAAGGGAATTGAGCAAGGTCATATGATATAAGTTCAAAGTAAAAAAGCCAGCTGGATGTCTATATACTAGCAACAAACAACAAGAAAATGAAATTCAAAAAATATCATTTATGATAGCATAAAAAACAAAACTTCTTAGGGACGTCTTGTACTCTGAAAGCTATAAAACATTACTGAAATAAATTAAGGAAGATATAAATAAATGGAGATAAAAGTTATGGATTAGATGAGTCGACGCCGTTAAGATGTCCACTGTCTCCAAACTGATCTGTAGATTCGAAGCAATCCCAATCAAAGTCCCAGTGGGCTTCTTTGTAGAAATGGGCAAACTGGTTAAAAAACTGATATGGAGGGCGCCTGGGTGGCTCAGTTGGTTAAGCGACTGCCTTCGGCTCAGGTCATGATCCTGGAGTCCCGGGATCGAGTCCCGCATCGGGCTCCCTGCTCGGCAGGGAGTCTGCTTCTCCCTCTGACCCTCCTCCCTCTCATGCTCTCTGTCTCTCATTCTCTCTGTCTCAAAATACATAAATAAAAATCTTTAAAAAAAAAAAAAAAAAAAAAAACTGATATGGAAATGCAATAGCCCTATAATAACCAAAACAATTATGATGATAAACAAAGTGGGAAGACTTGTACTACGTGATTTCCAGACTGACTCTGACTTATCGTAACCAAGATAAAATGCGGTATTAGCGTAAAAGTAAACATATAGATGAATGGAACAAAACAGACTCCAGAAACAGACCAAACACATCCAGTCAACTGGTTTTCAACGAGGTTGCCAAGGTAATTAATTCAATGAGGGAAACAATCATCCTTACAACAAAAGGCACTGAACAACTGAATATCCCTATGGAACAAAGTAAACTCCAACACCGATCTCATGCCATACACAGAAACTAAGTTGAAATGAATCATAAACCTAAATGTAGACACTAAAACTAACAAACCCCTAGAAAAAAACAGTACAAAATCTTCACCACCTTTAATTGGGCAAAGATGCCGTAGGTATCACACAAAAGCACAAACTATAAAAGGAAAAAATGGTAAGTTCAACTTCACCAAAATTAAAAACTTTCGTTCCTCAAAAGGCAGAGTTAAAACATGAAAAGTTAAGAGGGAGAAAATATTCACAATACACATACAAAAGACTTGTACACAGAATATATAAGGAAAATACAACTTAAAAATAGAATGCCCAGAGAAATGAGCAAAAGTTTGACTATACACATAACAAAAGAAGATATTCGAATGGTCAAAAGGCAGATGAAAAGATGCTCAACATCTGGTCATAGGGGAGATGTAAATTAAAACCATAGAGAGGTACAACTACACATCTCCCAGAACGTCTAAAATCCAAAAAACTAACAATACCAAGGCTTGGTGATGATGTGGAGCAAAGAGAACTCACACACTGCTGGTGAGGGTGTCTAACCATGCTGGAAAACAAGTTCAGCAGGTTCTTATAAGTTAAACATATATACACCATATGATCCAAAAATTCCACTCATAGGTACTACCCAAGAGAAATGAAAACATATAACTACATAATGACTTGCATGTGATCAGTCATGGCAGTTTTATTTATAAAATCCCCAAACTGGGGATGGCCCAAATGCCCATCAAGTGGGAAATGGATAAGCAAATTCATACAATGGAATATTACTCACCAATAGAAATACAAATGGCTAATATTTACAACAAATATGGATGAATCTCAAAAATATGATTCTGAAAGAAAAACAAAGACTCAAGTGTGTATGTGTGTGTGTGTGTATGTATAAATATATATATATATGATTCCGTTTACATGAATTCCTCGAACAGACAAAACGAATCTCTAATGAGAATACAGACCAGCGGTTGCCTGGGCTGGGGCTGTTGAGGGAATGGACTGCAAGGAGGACAGAGGAACTTGGGGGTTGATGGAAAAGTTCTCACATATCTGATTTTGAAGGTACAGTTGGTAGGTATCTCGTTTAAATTCACAGGATAGTTAGATATAGAGTTGTGGAAATGGGACATAAAGATATTCCACAAGGGACAAGGACATGAGCAGAGCCACAGAAGTGAGAAATTGAGGGGTGAGTATGGGGAGCCGCTGAGAGCTTATTTTTTAAAATTAACTTTATTGAAGCATAATTTGCATGAATAAAATGCATCCCTTTTAGGTTAATAATTGGATGAATTTTAAGAAATGTACAAACTCATGTGACCACCATCCCATAGAGAGCTTCCTTTTTTTTTTTATTTATTTATTTGAGAGAGAGAGAATGAGAGACAGAGAGCATGAGAGGGAAGAGGGTCAGAGGGAGAAGCAGACCCCCCGCCGAGCAGGGAGCCCGATGTGGGACTCGATCCTGGGACTCCAGGATCATGACCTGAGCCGAAGGCAGTCGCTTAACCAACTGAGCCACCCAGGCGCCCGAGAGCTTCCTTTTAAAAATTACCACTTCAAGCTTTTTTTGTGCTTACTAAATCATCATTTTATCACAAGTTTTATCATTTAATATTAAAACCAAAATAACATGCAGGCAATAAGACAGCTTATAAAAAGCATAGGCCTTGGGGTGCCTGGGTGGTTCAGTGGGTTAAGTGTCTGCCTTCAGCTCAGGTCATGATCTCAGGGTCCTGGGATCCAGCCCCGAATCGGGTTCCCTGCTCAGCAGGGAGTCTCCTTCTCCCTTTGCCCCTCCCCCCTGTTCGTATTCTCTCTCTCTCTCTCTCTCTCTCTCTGTGTGTCTCTCTCTCAAATAAATAAATAAAATCTTTAAAAAAAATCCATAGGTCTTGAAATCAGCTCTAGGTTTAAATTCCACTTCTCCAGCAAGTCACCTTGCTTATCAAAGTCTGTTTCCTCATCCACAAAATGGGATTAATAATAAAATCAACTTGACAAGATTGCTGTGAGGATTGAAAGAAATAACGTTAAGCTTCTGGCACAATGCCTGGAACACAGTAGGACCAATAAATGGTATTAATCCTATCACATCACAATAAGATGGGCATTTGTTGTGCAGTTACCCTCAGAGGTATGTATGGACCATGGAACCCACTGGCAAAGTCTTTGAAGGGGTCCCAAATGAAAAATGGCAATCCTCAATTCCGTTTCCCTACTGGTACTGTTTCACAATCAGTGGTGAAGGCTCCAAAGTATTTCATGCTCAAACATTTTGCTTTGATACGGAATGGGCGATTTGAAAATTGATTCTGGAACAGATCTAAAGCAGAACACTTAAAAGGTCCCCCCACCCCAGCTCCACAGTGTGTCAGACCTCCTCCCTAGCCTTAAAACGGAGCCCGACCGCCCACATTTCATACCACAGGATGCTGGGGAGACCACACCCTAGATTCACCCAAACAGTTCCAATCTGCTGAAGGGCTCAACCACCTGCTCCAGCCCTATCTCCCTTGCTTTCCAAACATCAGCTCCATGACCCCACTCCCAATATCAGCCTCAGGCCAGACGCACTTAGTTCACCTACCTGTCACCCTGCCTATTCAACTGCAAGCTCCTTGATTACTGCCAACACTCACTGGGTACTGTTGAGACACTCCCTTGGCTAGCCGCAGCTTCCTGGGGACCCCCCCCACCCCAGCTCCCAGCACACAGGACCCAGGACCCAGCTCCCAGGACACAGTCGCAACCATAACGTAATTCAAGGGTCACGGGGACGGAGTGCCATCTACCTGAGCAACAAAGAGCTGGAACTCGTCAGGCAGAATCCATGAGCGAGGATAGAAGTTGTACTCCTCAGGAAAGAGATTCTGCATGATTCTCACGGCTCTGCTCAGAGTAATTTTACGCACCATCTCCGTCATGCCTGGGGAGAAGAGAAGCTGTGAGATTTGAACAGCAGTGGGCTGCTAGCTATAAAACAGCCATGATCGGGGACTTTTAAAACCACCCACCCGACATATTCGCTTTTGCAGACAGGATAAAAAAAGGTAGCTGTTCCCCACAGCAGTGACTCATGGTTTGGAAAGACCTACCAAATTAATGAAAAACTTGAGGTAAAAGATGGATAGATTTTTCCCCTTATAAAAATGAAGCATCAGTTGGAAGGCATGGGTTTCCACCTAGTTTATTAATCCATTCTTTGTCAGTCTCCTCGATAATGGATAAAGAGAAGCATTTACATCTTGCACTTAAAACTTAATATCCTCCTTAATTTGGGGCCACCATCCATAATTCTGGGACTGCTTCCATCTTATACCCTCGAGAATATCATCTAGTGGACTCTGCTTACATTACGAGAAGCTTAATTAAGTTGCTTTACTTTAATCTTCCATGAGTATTCAAGGTATAAAATAGAAAAATATACAGCTTTCAGCATAAAATCTGTCTCCTTGAAATAAGGACAGAAAGTAGAAAGGATATCATAGCATAATTTATAGTTTAGGGGGAGAAAATGAAATCTGTAGGAGTTCTTCAGTTATAAGTACTGACACTAACATTGATCAGACCTCATTAATTTGCCCAGAGGGGATTAAAAGGACTCACTTATAAAACATTTTAAAAGAATGGTGGATGTTTTTTTCTTGTAGCATCTTTAGGAACTCTGACAAGAGAAGAAACTGAGTCTATACCTTAGCAAATTTTCAGCAAATAGGTAAAAATTCTTCTAAGTTTCAGCATGCTTATCTCTTAGGGCAAATATCACCACTGAAAATGGAGACTAGAAATGGCCTTCACCCTGAGACAGGCAACAGTTCCATCCCTGACACTAGGAACTGGCTCAGCGAAGTTATTTTTTACAGAAAGTACAAAGCTTTGTGTCAGCTTGGCATGTCCGAATTATCACACATTCCAAATGGGCACAATCAGAACGAATGAGATTTCTCGAAATTCCCATGTTCAGGAAGTGAAGGGTGAACATTTTGAGAATGAAGGTTTTAATAACCTATTTCTTGCTTCCCTCAGCATATGAAAAAGCGCAATAAATCCGAAGATCACAGATTCAAGATGTCAATGCCCAGCTTCTTGGTTCTTGTTTAGGATAGAGAAAAGGATTAAATAAGAAATAAAGGAGCTTGAAAAGCACTAATAAACTGTGCTCTGATGTGAACTCTTCAATATTAAAGAAAACTCACTGAGGACATTGTTCTGAGCTTCCTAAGAAATAAGTATGAGCCCAGAAAATTCCAGCTGTTTCCTTTTAGTCCCCTCCAAAATTGGAATTTTTGAGTTATAAACACTGGAGCCGAACACCAAATACACAAAACAAAAACTTCAACTGTTTTTGAAGGTTTTTCCTTTTCTTTGACAACAGTTTGTTATCATACTAGACTAAAACCCTTCATAACTAACTATAATACAGCACCTTACACCAAGTGGATGAAGCCTCCTGACTGTTGTGGTACTTTCTACATTTTTAATGGCCTTGTGACAGGGGAAGTTTCTCTTTCAGAAACCCCGCAGCAGGTCGGACAGACTCACACAACACAGACAGAAGTGCTTATGAGTACAGAAGTGTGGTTTGAATGCTCCAGAAAAGTCTTGTGAAAATCAATGTCCAGGGATGCCTGGGGGGCTCAGGCAGTTAAGCATCTGACTCTTGATTTTGTCTCAGGTCATGATCTCAGGGTCATGAGATGCAGCCCTGCGTCGGGCTCCACAATGGGCGTGGAGCCCACTGGAGATTTTCTCTCTCCCTCTCCCTCTGCCCCTCCCCTGCACTCTCTCTCCCTCTCTAAAGAAAAGAAAAAAATCAATTTCCAGCAAATTGAGTATATATTCATTTGAAACCTGCGATGGCTCCTACTGTAATGTGAATCCTAAGTCCCCCCACCAGCTGACAGATCTGCTCCCAAGTCTGCTTTTGTGCCAGTCTCCAGTAGTTCTCTACTGAAAACAGCCAACTTCGGAAGCACCCTACAATCCAACGGCTACTTTCCCCAGACAGTTCTGACCCACAGGCTCTGGACGACTCGCCCCTCCTCTGCCTAAATGCCTGTCTCCAGGAGGCACCAGTGTCTACCTCCTTCAATCCACTCACCACCAAAACCTTTGTTCCTCCACCATATCTCCGACCCCTTCCTCCACCCCACGTGGAAGCTGCTGGTGTCTGGGCTTCTGGTGGTGGCTCAGAGACAGATGTGGGGAGTGTCATCAGCTCTCACGGGAGTGCTCTCACAGGAGTAGCTGGGTTTCTAGCTGAGCCAGAACACATGTTCCCGAGCAAACAGGGGAAAAGAGAGGTCACTGCCAGGCTCTGCTGGCTCTAGACTCTACCTCCCTTCTCCAAGGAACTGCAGCACCTGACCCTCCCTGGGACCCTTGCCCTAGGCTCTGGGACACACTCTGACCTGAGCTGGAAGCTCTAGGTCTAACCATCAGCTCCCAGCCCCTCGAGATTGAGAATAAGGCAATCTTTGACCCTGACTTTGTACTCCAGTTAGATAAGGAGGATTTCAACGGTCTTTCTGAGGCTTTCTGATTGCTTTGTCCCCAGGTTTTGATAACCTGTCTTTTGCTCCTGGTGCTTGAGTAGCTGCCTTAGCAATGCCTTTGCTTTGTTCCTGCCAGTGTTCCTCCTCTGTTCCACCCAAGACTACCCAGCAAGGGCTGGATCCTCCTGCTTGGGACCTGAGCCCTGTGCCTGCCCTCCTGCTGCCTACTTAGAGGTTCTTTTGAGGCTCACCGCCTACCTGGGGTTCCCAGCAGGTCTTTCTCCAGATGTCCCTATGGTGGCAGGTCCCCTCCCAAATGGGAAAACACTCTAACTCAGGTTGGAGCTTCCCACACCAGGAACTTGCCTCCTGTCACTCCTGGGCCTGGTTCTTCTCTCTGCTACACTGGAGTCTCGAGGCCTGGTAGGTCTCAACCCCCGTGAAGCTACACAAGAGGGTAACAGTCTGATCCTTAGGCTTGCCCACACAGACCTACCTATTTAACCCAATTTAAAACAAAAACAAAAACAAAACAAAGTCTGAGCTATTTCGGGAGTACTGTTCAATCCAAATATCACTGACAACAATATAATTCTTGGCAAAACACATTCCAACCACCCAATGACAAATAACTTCTTCCAGATCCACCCTCTTCTCTGTTCCCAGTGCCGCTGATGAGTTCATCTTTTGCTGGCTCCTGCAGCGGCCTCTTAGCTCTACCTCTGTCTCCTGCCTCCGCCCTTCCACCCACCTCCAATGCATCCCTCTGGGGGGCCTTCTGAAAATGCAAGCTGGCCCGTGTCACTCTCTGGCCTAACAATTTCTCAGTGGCTCCCATGACCTTCAGACTATAAGGATGTTATCCTTCAGTCCCTGCTTATCACCCATCCACGGCCCCTCTCACACCTGACCCTTTCTGACCATCATGGGCCACTTGCCCTTTGCTGAATGAGCAACCTGCTCTAAACATCCTAGGTCTTTGCACCAACTCTATTCCCGCATTTTGCAGGGAGGTCAGGCCCGTCCAGCCCTGGAGCCTCAGTTCACATGTTCTCCTGGGTCTCTCGCCCTGTCTGCCCCCCCAGGCAGATCTAGGTTAGGTCATGTTCCCTTGTTCCAAACCACCCGGGCACCCCAGATTTCCTCTGTCTGGCACTTATTTTGTATTTGACTTCTCTCCCTACATGGCTTTCTCCTTGTCTCTCTGTCTTCTCCGACACAGCCGAGTGCTTGACTGCAAGCAGCCCGGGACCTTCCTGGCCGGGGCCCTTTCCCTCTCTGCCAGAACATCCCCTCCCCACCCCTGCCATGTGCTGTCATACATCTCAGACCCTGAAAGTCAGCAAAAAACTGTCGCTTGTGAGCTGAGAATTGACAGTTTGGGACTTTCCTAAAGCAAAGACATATCCAAATCAGATTATTTTTATAGAAAGTCTTAATTCATCATGTTAAGACATAATAACACATCTTGGAGGACCTCGTCATAGAAAAGTGGCTAAAATCTAATGTGCTGACACAAACAAAATAAATCGCTTCCATATGCATCTCCAAAAGTTTTCAGTTTATTCGGCACGTGATGCATTTACAGTTGCCTGCCACATCCAGTAGAACTTACTCTATATCATATACAGTGCATACGAGATGCACTGCTAGAATAATGGGATACCGGAGAGACAGAAGATAAGCCTGGACCCAAACTAGAACCAAAGGACGGATCCTTCTGGAATCACGTCATAGTTAAGAGCTGCTGTCTTCCATAGGGAGAGGGTGTAGCCACACTGCGTCTCTGCCTAGAGATTCGAGAGCCTGCTTTGTCATTAGAACTAATTAATTGCTGTTGGTAAAGTGGAAAATTACATGTTCCAGTCACTGGCACATGGAATATGGGATAGAGCAAACTTCTTTCTTTGGAATGAATATTCTTATATCACCTTTAATGAAACTAGTCCTTTGAGGGTGTTTTTCTCTAATCTGTGTTCCAAAAGGAGAGCTATATAGCTACGACTTCTTTCTTACTCTCAGCCATGAGATGAGGCACAAACAGGGGAAAACATAAGTGAAGGCTCATTTGAGGATTCATGTCTTAGGAACTCTGTCCTCATTCAAAGAACTGTTCTCTTCCAAACTACCTTCTCCCAGTATCCCAGTAAGTCCTTTGAGTGACATCAAAAAGTCATCTTTTATGAGCAGCAAGATAGAAAAGAATAGTTATCCCATTAAACTGTATGCAAGAACCCAGGCTACCAGAATCCTTCTTGTTCTCCAACAGAACCCTCCCTCATCTCTAACTGTGGGTTAATTTTCTAGCTCCGTTCCCCCTGAAACCAATAAAGGTAGGAAGTTAGCTGTGTTCCTAGACAACAAAGCATATGGTTGAAATGATCCCTGATTGGCAAATTGCATAAATACCTGGTAGGAAGCCATAGCCCCAGGCTTTCCTGATGTAATGATTCTCCTAACTCAGCACGACCCTGCTGGGGACCCTGGAAGCTATGCTTTGGAGGAGCGACGTGAGATAAGGCTCTTGAGGCATATCTAAGCCAAGACAGACCCACGTCCACCAATGTACGTCTTGTCTCCTTACACCTGAGCTGATCTCACTTGAGGTGTTGGACTAGCTTTCGGCACCCTCACAAAGACACCGCTGGAGAGAAATGCCCAACATTGACTGGCTGGCAGGCCGTGTTTCCTGCCCTATATCCTTTTAAGTGAATCTGAGCTAGGTGAGGCCCATGGTAGTCTGAAAGCTTAACTGAACCCCCCCTAGTGGACATGGCATAACTCACCAGTGTATCATGTATGGCTACTGGTTTTTCCGAGACGTATTTTCTTAAAGACATGGCATAGAATGCCAAAGAGTACATTTTTTTTTAAGTAAACTCTACACACACCATGGGGCTCAAACTCCTGACCCTGAGATCAACAGCCAACAGGCACCCCAGAAAAAGGGAAAATGCAGTCTCCTTTTAAAAATAAGCATAAATGATATCACGCTAGAAGAAAACACCTTGTATTCAGGCAAACACACTCTGACTGCAACCATGTAAAAATGATACAAATATGTGGTTAAGGTCTGAGAGGTAATCTAGAAATATTCACATTGTTGTTTTGTTAAATGAGGGATGGGATTCAGGGTGATGCTCTTTTTAAACAAATTATTTACTATCGTATTATAATATGGTTTGTACATATTACGTTAAAATTTCTGAATATAAGAGAAAGACCCTTTGGCTGTGATCACCACCCCCTCTTGACCAAATGTTCCTTCCTCTCTGAGCACACCCACTCACCTTAACCACCCTCCTCACTGAGCCATTAAAAAGAATGAATAGCAATCCATAGCAGAAGAGGGAGGCAGAGATTAAAAATAAAATGGAAAGGCATATGGGGAGGCTGGGAATGGAGTGAGGAGGTGTCTTAAAGTGTTGGCTCTGACACTTTCTTGGCCCTAGTCCCCCTTACAGGAAAGCCTCACTGGGGCAAGGTCCCGAGGTAAAAGGTAGGCACTGTCTCAGCCCGTCGTTCACCACACAGAGACTGGTATATTTGGTTGTAAAAATGGTACTTCCAATGATGATACTTAAAGAAAGCAGAAGCTGCCAACCTCATTTTTGTGGTATATTCCTAGAATTTTAGTACTTTTGTTTCTTGCAAATAATTTATGTGAAGTGGCCTATTTTTTTTTTTTTCATTTTGAGAACATCGTCTCCTCATTACACCTTCATATTATAACTCAGAAAGTGAAGATCATGTTCTTCCACTGGTGAAATTAGTCCAGGAAAGCCTGTCTTTTTATTTTTGAACCTCCAGTCTTTAACCCATTGGTGGGTCAAATCCTGATGACCTCTGCGTTAGCTTCCCTCCCAAGGTCAGGGCACCGCGGTGGTGCGGGCGGCAAGTCCCAATTAAGAGTCCTTGAGTCCGAGCTCAAAACGCTGCTTGCAGAAGAGCCCTGACACTCAGCCTAGAAACATTTTTCGATGCCAACAATAACAGCAGATACCTGGAAACTTGTTCACTTGGCCGGAGAATATGTCATTGTCGTGAAATGAAACTCCATGCCAGTAGATGTCACAAGGCAAGCGTCGGCCGAATGGGAACTAGAAGACAGAGGGAAAAAAATTGTGACTATTAACAAGACCTAGAGGAGGAGCTACCATCCTGGGTGTCTATTACATACACATTCCCCGCGACTTGGTGCATGTCACGTGATGTAATCCTCATAATAAGCACACGAGGTAGATGATATCCTTTCCCATTTCATAGGTGAAGAAACCGTTTCAGGCAGGTTAAGGAACTTGCTCAAGGTCACAACCAGTGAGGAGTGGAGTTCTGACTCTGTGTGGCAGGCACTATACTCAGGCCTTCACATGCACCCCTTCATTCTAATCCCCCTAACTACCCTAGAAAGAATTATTCCCATTTTACTGGGGAGAAAATTGGGGCTGAAAAAGGTAACACAAAATAACACAGTGCTGGTAAGGAGAGGAATCAGGATTTGAATCCAGGTCTATCCGAATCCCAAGCCATACTTTTCTTTCTCTGAAAATTGCAACTCTCAAGTCAGTCCCCCCAAAAATGAGCTTACGCTCTCTCACTCATGCTCTCTCGTTCTCTCTTCCCTGCTCCCCCAAACACACATGGTCCATGAAGGGAGGATGCATCCCCCAGTGCCTCCTGGCATTCGATAAAGACTTTGTGGATGAATAAATGAACAAACCGGGAATAGTCATCTGACTCAAGGTGAGATAACCAGATTCTCTCTTCCAGGAATTTGGAAATCTGAGATGCCAGGCAGCCTGTGCTAGCCCTTGACCTGGAAGTGATAAAAAGCCAGAGCTGGGCAGATGTGCTTAGCTATGAGCACAAAGAAGCAAAGGCAGCCCGGCTGGTGAGAGGGAGGGAAGGAATAGGTGCAGAGAGGAAAGTGAAGGTGAGACCAGGCGGCCCTGGTGACAGACTGAGTGACTTTAGTTCCTAGGGCTTCTAGATCCTAGGTCCAGACCCTCCTGAGCCTTGCTGTCCCTCCTGTCCTTGGATCCTGTAAGACAGCCTTATATTCTTAGAATATATCCCCTCTTTGCACATACTATAGGGTTTCCTTATTAGCAGCCAGAAAAATCCCTCAGTGAGATAAAAAGACCTGCTCTTTCCACCACATCCTGCTGCCTCTCAAAGTTATCAGCAAGTTCTACATTTACAGAATTCATTTTTTAAATCTGTAACTCAGAGGACCCTTGTTAAAGGAAAAAAGTGAGGACGTGTCAGTTCATATTTAGAACTTGCTTGTTAGAAGTCCAGATGAAGAGAGATGCTAACACATTGAATGCAATCACTTGACTTTCCCATCCTAAGACTACAGCTAATCAGGATTTTTGTCTGCTCCAAGTTGAGAGAGCTTAAGTTCCAATGGAAGAGCATAGCATTACTAATGAAATGGTGGTGACTCGATGCTTTCCAACTATTCCAAATTAAAATGAAGGCAAACAGACTCAAGCCCTTTAAATCATTCACATTATTTCAAAGCTGTGCCAAAGTGAGGCATATGTTACACACTCTATTAGCATGAACAACTTTCATCTATAATTTATAGCATTTCACTTGTTTTCTTTGCATCCAGTGGACTGAAGTTATTAATTCAGTAGTCATAAATACAAAGAGATACAACATATGTTATTTTCTTCCAGCTGCTATGTGCTAACAGAGGGAAGGGGAAAATAACTTAACCAGGGAAGTTTCTCTAAAAGCAGACTATCCAAGCAAAGTTTACTAAGATCCAAGTGGCCATGCTGCCTGCAATGTGGGACCAACACCTGCTCCATGTCAGCAGACAACCAATGACTCCTTATCACCTTTACCGTTACCCTTCAATCCTTGCCAACCTCATGAGTCCCAAATTAACACTTCATTCAGCAGTGTCTTTAGCTCATTCAGTTTTGTGAAACTGTCATTTTTTTAAGCCATTCATTTAATAATTGCTATGTGCCAGACACTGTGCTAGGTGCTGAGGACACAGAGAAACACAATTTTAAATAGGTCCCGGGACTTCAAAATCCCACCTCTTTTAAAGATCTTTTTAAAAACTGCTTAAACAGCTAACATCATACTCAATGGTGAAAGACTGAAAGCTTTTCCTCTAAGATCAGGAATGAGATAAGGATGCCCACTTTTTCCACTTTTATTCAACATAGTATTGTAAGTTCTAGCCAGAGCAAAGGGCAAGAAAATGAAATGAAGCATCCAAATGGAAAGGAAGAAGTAAAATTCTCTGTTTGCAGATGACATGATCTTATATGTAGAAAACCATAAAGATTACACACACATATACACACACAGTTAGAAATAATAAATGAATTCAGAAAAATTATAGGATACAAAATCAATACACAAAAATCAGTTTTTCTATATACTATCCATGAATGATCCAAAAAGGAAATTAAGAAAATAATTACATTTATAATAGCATCAAAAAGAATAAAATACTTAGGAATTTACTTAACCAAGGAGGCAAAAGACTGTACACCAAAAACTACAAAATGTTGCTGAAAGAAATTAAAGAAGACACACATAAGTAGAAAGACATCCCATGTTCATGGATTTGGAGACTTTATATTGTTAAGATGTCAATACTACACAAAGCAATGTACAGATTCAATGAAATCCCTACCAAAATCCAAATGACTTTTTTTTCCTTACAGAAATATAAAAACCTATCATAAAATTCATGTGGAATCTCAAGGGACCCCAAATAACCAAAACGATCTTGAGAAGGAAGAATAGTGTTGGAGGTATCACGCTTCCTAATGCCAAAACTTACAACAAAGATATAGAAACAGTGCATAAAACAACAATGAGGTACCATTTATACAACTGTTAGAATGGCCCAAATCCAAAATACTAACAACACCAAATCCTGGCAAGGATGTGGAGGAACAGGAACTCTTACTCACTGCTGATGGAAATGCAAAGTGGTACACCTATTTTGGGAGACAGTTCTTAAAAAAGGAAACATACTCTTACCATATGATCCAGTAATTGTGCTCCTTGATATTTACCCAAATGAGTTGAAAACTTATGCCCAGAAAAAAAATCTACACATGAATGTTTATAGCAGTTTTATTAATAATTGCCAAAACTTGGAAGCAACCAAGATGTCTTTCAGTAGGTAAATGGATAAACTGTGATGCGTCCAGATAATGGAATATTACTCAGTGCTAAAAAGATATGAGCTATTAAGCCAAAAAAAGACATGGAAAGATCTTAAATGTGTATTTCTAAGTGAATGAAGCCCATTTGAAAAGGCTACATACTGTGTGATTCCAACTATATGACATTCTGGAAAAGGCAAAAGAGCCAGTAAAAAGTATACCATAGATTAGGAGTGAGGGGAGGGATGAATAGGGGAAGCACAGAGGATTTTTAGGGTAGTGATACTACTCTATATAATACCATAACAGTGGATACATATCATTATTCATTTGTCTAAGCCCACAGAATGTACACTACCAAGAGTAAGCTTTAATATAAAATCATGGACTTTGGGTGTCAACATACGATGTGTCAATATATGTCCATCGATTGCAACAAATGTACCATTCTGGCATGTGATTCTGATAGTTGGGGAGGCTATGCATATGTAGGGTCAGTGAGCATATGTGAAATCTCTGTCCCTTCTGCTCAATTTTGTAGTGAACCAAAAATAGCTCTAAATAAAAAAATAATAATAAATTAATAAAAACCAGTATGGTACTGGCATAAATACAAACAGACTAAGTGGATAGGATACAGAACCCAGAATCAAACCCTGACATATATGGTCAAATTATTTTTGACAAGGATGACAAGACTATTTGATGGGAAAAGGACATTCCGTTCAACAACTGCTGCTAGGAAAACTGGATATCCACATGCAGAAAGAATGAAGTTGGACCCTTACCTTATACCATATACAAATATTAACTCAAAATGAGTCAAAGACCTAATCATAAGGGCTAAAACTATAAAGCTCTTAGAATAAAATATAGGGAACAAGCTTTATGATATTTAATTTGGCAATGATTTCTTGGATATGACACCAAAGCACAGGTAACAAAAGAAAAATAAATAAATTGAACTTCATTGAAATTAAAACTTTTTTGCATCAAAGGACACTTGTCAACAGAATGAAAGGGAAGCCCATGGAACAGGACAAAATATTTGAACATCATGTATCTGATAAGGGATTAATATTTAGAATATATTTTAAAGTTTTACAACTCAAGAACAAGAAAAACAATTTAAAAATGGACAAAGAAAGGACTTGAACAGACATTTCTCCAAAGAAGACATACAGATGGCTAATAAGCACATGAAAAGATGCTCAACATCACTAATCATTAGGAAAATGCAAATCAAAACCACCATGAGATACAACGTCACACTCATTAGGATGGCTAGCATAAAAAATAATAAAAAGGAAATAAGTGTTGATGGGGATGTAGAGAAATTGGAACCCTTAGGCCCTGGGAATGTAAAAAGCTGCTGTGGAAAATAAAATTGTCACATGATCCAGCAATTCTACTTCTGAGTATTTACCCAAAAGAACTGAAATCGGTGACTTGAACAGATACTGATATACAAATGTTCAGCACTATTCACAACAGCCAAAGGTGGAAGCAGTCCAAGTGTCCATCAACTGTCCATCAACAACAAACAAAATGTGTTATATCCATACACTGTAAAATTACTCAGCCTGGTACAACATAGATGAAACCCTGAAGACATTATGCCAAGCGAAAGAAATCAGACACAGAATATTGTACGGTTCCACTTCTGTGAGGCAGCTAGTGTAGTCAAATTCATAGAGACAGAAAGTAGAACAGTGGTTTCCAGGGGCTGGGAGGAGGGGAAAATGGGGTGTTGCTTAATGGGTACAGAATTTCAGTTTGGGGAGATGAAAAATGTTCTGGAGACGGATGATGCTGATAGTTGCACAACATTCACAAAGTAAATGTATTTACTGCTACTGAACTGTACACTTAAAAACAGTTAAGGTGATAAATTTTGTTACATATATTTCACCACAATAAAACAACAATAAAAAAACTGTCTGCTTATGCCC